CCCCAAGTAGGCAAAGTCAGGTCTGCACCATCGTGTCCTGGCTTTCCCTGCTTCCAGAGACATCCCCAGGGAGCTCTGGGACATGTCTGTGAAAGGAGAGAAAGCTGGAGATCCAGAGATGCAACTCTGACAATCTCTGGGGTGAGTCTCTGGAAGTGGGGAACTCTGACCTTTTGTACTCCTGGATACACGCTGGAGATTGATGGGGGGCATGTTTCTGGAGGCAGGGAAAGTTGGCAGGCCCTCCTGGGGCTTGAGGGTCCCAATTCTGCACAGGACTGGGCCCCTCAAGCCCTGGATTTGCCTGACCAGGGTGGCAGGAGAGTGTGGGCAGCTGCTGCCAGAGCTGCCAACACTCTCTTATCATAAAACAAACAGACATCTGCCACAATAAAGCAGCATAATATTATTACTACCTTTTGTTGCGGCCCTACTGTGGCAAGACAAAAGGTAAGGGTGTCTGTTTGATGTTGCTTTGTACTGCCATAAAACCTTTTATGGCAGTAGAAAGGCAATGAAAGTTCATGTTTGTTTCCACCCTTACTCTGATCAGGGTGCAGTGTCTATAGCATACAGATGGGAAGAAAACTGCTTGCAAAGCAGAAGACAATTAAAATAAGTCATTATGATTTGTGGGACTAGTTTTCAGAATAACGTAATAAATGAGCCAGCTGACTTTTTTTTTGTGTGTGTGGTCTTTCCTTAGTGTCCTGGGATCCAAGTTATAAACATCAGCAAGATGAACGAATGACAATATGTGTAGATCAGTAAATGTGCACAGCAAATACATGAGCACAAACTTTGCGTTGTCAGGGCATGGAAAGAGTAGCACCTTGTGTTACCCAGTGACCTGTTGAGTTCCTTTCTGAGCTTTAATTGCTCTGGTAGGAGTGTTTCCATGGTTCATCTTTTCAGGGTGTGTGGCACTTCTGCAGCTAAATTATTTGCTGCTGTAGAATATTTAACATTGTGTCAATATACTAAATTTTATAAAGCACGCTTTTTCTGTGTTCATCTTGTTGTAAGATGAACTTTGAGCTGAAATCTTGTTAGAGTTCTCAACTTTGAAAAGGAACACTACTTCTTTCTGCCTTTTCTCTGAGGGTCCTGACACAAGACTGGGGGACTTCTGCCTTACCAGCACTGTCCTGTGCTGTCCTGTTCTCCTCTCCCCCCTAAACACCTCACTGCACCTTGTCATTTAGGCTAGGGGAGCAGTTCCCTTGCCAATAGCCCATCACCACAAGCTCTGCATGTTCATGATCCATACCATTCAACATCCTGCCCTCGTGACCTGCCCAGACACAAGATGGTGGGCCTTGGCTGTGAACAAGAATCCCTCCCCAGTGGACTGGCCTGTATTTCATCCTAGTCGCAGAAGCCACCAGGGATGTCGGTTGGTAGTTCTTGCATAGAGCTATCAATGTGGCCATGTACCTGGCACGCTTTACTGACTCCCCTGACACCCATCCCTTTTCTAGTCAGCCATGAACCAGGGTCTCCCTCTATCTCAAGTGCATCAGAATGCAGTCCCCGTACTGTCTCCTCAAGAACCTCTTACTGAGGTTCTGGCTGCACTTTTCCCCCACCGCTTTTATTTTATGCACTCACCATCTGTGGCCCTACAAAGTTGTAGGAACTTTTGGTTAACTTTCTCTTGGCCCTGGCCAAGCTGTCTGTTTGCCAGAGCAAGGAGGAGGCTTTGGCCAGAAGGAACCTGGGCAACTGTATGGTTGTCTTTCTTTTACTTATCCATGGATGTCTCTGGCCAGAATTTCAGTGGCAGGCTATCCATAGGCTCCTTAGTTGTGTTTGAGGGGTAGTGGGCACTATTCAGTTTTCTCTGTGAGATGTACCCCCTCTTTGTCCTCCCCCTGAGAAACCTAATTATTAGCTTTTGACTTGCACTTCTGTTCCTGACATTTTTTTAATGTCCTTTGTCCCAGGAAGGTAATTGTTATATGGCTAGTAACCTTTGAGGGGGGGCTTGTGGTTTGCTGGTGGGTCTAGGGCTGTGGTTCTCAACCAGGGTGTCACAACTCCTCTCAAGAGTGCCGCAGTGCTGCCACTGCAGCCAAGTGAAACTGCCCTGTGCACCTGTTTCGAGGAGATAGTGGAGCCAGATCAGGAAGTGACTAACAGGCAGGAGGGTGTGCTCCTGCATGAATTAGGCTTATCTACTAAGCTTAATGGAGGAAAGAGCACCTGCTCCTCTGCCACAACCTGAAAACAGCAGTGTGTGGAGCAATATCATTGTGTCACAATGCCAATACCAGGCACTGGGGGACAGTTTCACTGTGCTATGGAGTAGTTGCTGGGGATGGTCCAGTTTCATTGGGCTGGTTGAGAACCACCGAGGTGTAAGCTGAGCCAGTACAACCATGGTTCTCAACCAGTTGATACTAAATTGATAAAAGTTGATAAGGGGGGGTGCCTTGAATATTAAAAAGATTGAGAACCACTAGTGTAGGCCCACTGCCTGTATGACAAATAAGCCTGACTTGAGTTGGTCTGAAATACTTTTGCCCACTTTACAAACAACTGACGTTTCCTTTTCCTTTTTTTGAAGTAGGCAGTGGTCTGACTGAATTCTCTTTAGAAAACAAACTGTTAATGCCATTTTGTTCTGACATCGCAATGTCATCGAGAACCAGGGCTGATTTTGTGGTCTAGGGGTGGGGATAATACAATAGACTCTAGATCATTTGTATCCAGGTGGTTTGCAACCCATTTCATTTTTAGCAAATGCCACAGCAGACAGCTGAACAGCCATTAATTCAGGAAAGGGCTCTACTTCCTGGATCAGCTGGAGCACATGGGTGGTCCTATGCAGCTGATTGGAGAAGCCCTTGGAAATAAAAGCCAGGACTGGAGCAATTCAGCAGACCTGTGCAGCATTGCAGCTCTGAATACTCTGATGCTTCTCAATCTCTTATCTTGGTAGAGGGTTAGAACCGTAACCCTGAGAAGTATCTGGGGTCTTTTTTTGTCTAGCTAGGACAGAGCAGTGACTATTGACCAACAGTATTGTTGCTTATTATAGGTGTGTTTTAAAGATGCGATAGTGCTTTGATGTTTGTTTACTTCCTGCTCTCACTTACTAGTGGATTGAGAAGCTATAGATTGTATAGATGAAATTATAGCCGTACCTAGGACAGTACATTTCACGACTTGATTTATATCAAAACTAAAGTTGGTTGAAAACTGGAACTTCCACCTTGTGGGAGCTCTGGAGAGTATGAAATTCTGGCTTTGTCCTGAATTGCAACAAAAATTGTGTGTGTGTGTGTGTGTGTGTCCCAAACCCCACAAAAATATTTTATTTGAAATATTTTGGCTTTTTGTGTAATGTTTGGACCTTACTGAAATACAATGGGTTGATTTCTTGCCAAAACTTAAAACCTACACATAACCTCAAAATTATTTAGCTTTTGTTGCGTTGCTATGTTCCAATGGAAAACTACTATGCAGAATTTTTTGACTGTTTCTTATCATAAATATATAGCCACTTTTATATTTACAGGTTCTCTCTCACTTGTGTAGACACTACGGACATAGCTAGGATGGCCTCAAACTCAGTAAGTAGTTAAACATTCTGTTTTGGGTAACAGCTGACTGAGTAGTACACTAATTAATAATCTAGTCTATTAAACTTTGACTTATAGGGAAACCTGAAGCAAAGAACTTTATGTATAACAAGGAAGAGACTTGCCTCAGTGTATGGAAGAGATGCAATTAACTTACTTAGGATGCAGAGTTATGGGACTTATAGTTGTTGATTCCTTCTAATTATTGTATCCCATGGCTGGAAGGAAAACAAACAAATAATAATAATAAAAAACTATTCTGCATACCAAGTTGTAGCCTGATGGTTATTATGAATGGCCTTGATTCTGTTAGGCTAACTTCTGTTTGTTGTGTAGTGCATTTGACAAAAGTAATGAGATATTAGCAGAACACTAGTTAGATCTGATATTTAGAATGAAAGGGGTGCTGTCAACTGGAAAATTTATGTTTATCATTGAGAAATCTTACTGTTCAAATGGTTACAACCCCCTAAAATTAAACTAAGAAAGCTTGCAGAAATATATTTCTTTATTTTCCTGATTTATTTGCTAGTGACTATAATAGTTGGTGTATAATTGCTTTCATTATTCTCCTGTGCAGTCTTTTTTTTCACAATATAAAAGAAATATTAGATATGACTAGGGAAGCAAAACATTTAACGTTTTAAAAGAATTCAATATATGCATGCAAGACTTATTTGAGGGGCAGTGTATTAGAAATTAATTTAAACTGTCTCTAAATGTAGTCTCTCTGCAGTTGAAGGAGTGTCTGTCTTTCACTCCAATATTCAGTAGACTTTGTAAATCCTCTATTGCAAGACTGATGCCTTTCTGAATTAGGATTTTATTGTATCAGTAGCACTTATGCAAAAACACTCTTTTAGATACTTCTGTATTCTGACTTTGCAATATTACACGGCACATGTTTCTACCCCCTCTTATTTCTTGGTTTCCACTTTTGTTGCTGTTATTAGGGGCTACCACCATACTATGAAAATCACGGCTATGAGCCAGAAAGGTCCTATAATTCTAGGCACGTTATAGACACTAGCGGCTATCCACAGTACATTCCTACAAGCCATCCTGCATCAGTGCCACATTATGTTCCAAGTGTTCCTCCTCAACATTCAGCTACAGTGGTAGTACAGCCAAAGCCTTCGTCTGAGAAACTGTGCACATCAGGTAAGACTTGTCTGGATTTCTTACCATGTAGGTTTGCTGTAGTTTGATATCCAGATAGATGAAAGATCTTTCTTTCCATGCTCTCCAGCTGAGTGAAATATTCCATAAGCACCACCTTCTTTCTTTGGAAGAGTGTGGGCCGATGGAGACTTCTGAATTTCAGGTTCATGCCTGGGTTGTTGGTTGTATCCATGTTGGTCTAAGAACATAGGCAGGCAAGGTTCTTTGGGTAGATGTGATATCTCTTATTGGAACAACTGAGTAGTTGGAAAAAAAGTTCTTAGCAAGCTTTTGGGCACAGTCACTATGGGTGACTGTGCCGAAAAACTTTATGAGAATTTTTTTCCAACTACTTATTTGGTTTAATAAAAGATATCACATCTACCCAAAGAACCTTGCCTGCCTGGGTTCATACCTGCATACTAGTGACTGATATTTGTGCCTTAAACTTCTGCCCAGATAGATTCCAGATAAGAGATCTAAGGTTAGCCTCCTTCCCTAACTTTTATTTTTCTCCCTTTTTATTTGTAGGTGTTAAGAAAACCTTATGCATTGTCTTAGCTGTTGCAGTAATCCTCACAGGTGCAGTAGTTGCAGCACTCCTTATCTGGTATTTTGGTAAGGATCTGCATGATATTAAAAATATGAAACCTAAAATGTCTTGGCACGCTTGTGTTTGGAAAGTCTCATTTTTTCCATCTGATGGTGAATTAGGACAGGGAAGTCTTGGTTCTCTCCTTTTTTTCCCCGGTATAAAATCCTTTTTTTCCTTTTAATCTGAAGGGCTACTTATCTGTTATAACCAGCATCACTGCTGCTGTTTTCCTTTCCTCTTTTTTTAATGGCATGTAAATATATTTGAAACAATTAACCTCCACCAACTTTTTGACTCCTGTTGCCAACTCTTACGCATCAGCTCATCCTGAGCTTCCTGCCAGCTACTACTATAGCACCAGCTTTTGTACAGCTGTTATCACTTCAGATACAGTGGTGTGAAGTGCAGTTTAACTCGGTGCAAAGGGCCCTTACAAGACTTTTGACCTGGGGTTTAAATGATTCCAGAGCTTGCTTGGCTCTAAGGTTTTGAGTGAACATTAACTACATATTTAGCTTCTGCACTTAAATTCAAAACAAATTTTAAAACTTCCCACACTGTTTCATTCCCTGACTTCAGGGACAAGAGCAAAAGAGTGAATGACATAAGTTAGAGGCTTTAGACTTTTGTAGAATGAGATGCTGAGTAAAACTACTAGACTCAGATTTTATTAATTTCAAATTTTTAAACTAAAAATACCTGCAGTATAGCGAATGCCTGCTGAGATGATAGGAAAATTGTATTAATCGCACCAGTCGCGCACAATGCCGAATCTCCTGAATTGCAAATGACTACCCCCCGCAACCAAAACAAGTTTACATATTCCTTTCATTTATTGTGTTGGCTGACTTGAAAAAAGTGAATGAGGAATCCTGGAGGGAGAGAGCATGTGTGGTTGCCTTTAATTTGGAGCTATTTTGAACAGACTTCTAAATTTTAATGTGAAAATAAGTGTTGTTTTAAATCAGTGGTTTTCAACCTTTTTTCATTTGCGGACCCCCTTGGAAATTTTGAATGGAGGGGGCAGACCCCTTTTAATTGTAAGTGTGGGGATTCACATACTTTAGACTGATCATAGTTGTCTTTTGTGGACCCTTAGACCTAGTCACTGGATTATGGGTTGAAAACCACTGATTTAAATAAATCCCAATCACTGTAAGAATGATATCTATCAAGAGGTGGCAACTAAACAGAGCTATTTTCTTTCCCTGTTTCCTTTAATTTTTGCTATAGCTGGCAGAGTGAGTTATGAGCTTAACACTGCGTTTGAAGTTCACTGGAGTTACCATGAAATCTAATAGCTTAATACAGGGGTGTCCAACTGGCATCTCATGGGCTGCATACAGCTTGTGAAGGGTTCATTTGTGGTTCTTGGGCTCCCACCAGGCTATGGCTGCAGCGGCAGCTGAAGTCTCCAGGCTTCCACTTCCTGTCCCTGCCCCAGGGGCATGATGGTGTAGCCCATGGTCTCATGGAAACCTATGGCCAGGGGTGTCCTAGTGCCGCAACGCAGCACGGGACTCTGTAGTCAGGAAGCTGAAGGTAAGGCTGGAGTGCCTGCCTGATATAGTGGTGTATATGGAGTAGTGGGGGGAGAGGGGCTCCTAGTGTGCTTAGAAGTTGGACAACCCTGAGTTAATAAATAAAAACTGCTTTGACAATTATTAATGATGACATGTATAATTAAAAAGCCTAAACTACTTTTCCATTTTTGTCCTCACCTCTTTGCCCTCTTTCATACAGAAGTCGCCAAGTTATTCAGTTAATGATCTTTCCACATCTAGCTTAACTAAATTGATTATGCTGCTGGAAAAGTCAGTAGAAGTAATAATTTGTGGATAAATGAACCTTAAGATAAATTAACGGTTGTGTGTTTGTCTCTTTGCAGTGCAGGATCCGTGTTTTGATTCTTCAATAGAATGTGGGTCTTCAGGAAAATGTGTGCCATTATCCCAGTGGTGTGACGGACGCTTCGACTGTCCTAATGGTGAAGATGAAAACCGATGTGGTAGGTACCTCAAGTATGCAAAGGTAAAACTGTATTTTTCTAAGTTTTACCAGCTTTGTTTACATATGATGCAACTCTAAACCAATTTAAACTGATTCAGACGCCTGTGTGAACTGTCCTATTTTGGCTTGAGACTGACTTAGTTTATCCTAAGTTTATTCCTAATGGCTTGCTAAGCTGAAATATGGGTGTGTGCAGGGCCTTGTGCCAGTTTTAATTAGGTTAGTTTAAAAATCATAAGTTAACTTACTTGAAGACGTCTCTCATACTTGGTCTATAGGAAATCATTGTGTTCCTATGATTCTGCTTGAATTTGTTGACATGGGTTGGCTTATTTCTTATCCTCTCTTCAATCCCTCCATAAGAATTTCCCTTCACTCCCCCACCAGATCAAGGTTTTTGGTGGTGATAGTATTGTTGCTTTGCAAAGAACACTAAGTAACTTGCAGGGTAGGAGGCTTGCTAATGACTTCAGTTAAAGAAATAGTTAAAGGCTTTCATGTTGAGCTGAAGATATTTGAAGAGAATATCTTGTGGTGGAGATCATAAAGATGCAGTTTCGAAAGATATACCTGTCTTGATTTTTTTTTTTTTTTAATATCTGCGTGTTTTTCAAGAAAATTACTTTGGGTTGGAGATGTACTGTTCGCTCTTCTTGGCCCTATGTTGCCTTTGGTACTCTGGTGTATGCTTTATCTCTGCTTGCTTTAATATCCTTTTCCCCTTATTTGGATGCACAATTGGGTCTCTTTGCAATTATCTTCTGCCTGACCTGCTTTCTTCCCTCTTTCTGCCATGTACAGTACATAGTATCTTTATATTTAATGCCTGGAAGGGGCAGAGCAAACATTTCCATGCCACATCTGTGCTCCTGAGCTTTTATGCCATGAGAGAACATAATGTTTTTGCCTTCTTATCTAATTACTGCTTTTCATTCTTACCCTCTGGATGAGGCATGGAAAATTTAAAGATTGCACAGTAAAGAGAGACGAATAACACAATGTAAATATACCTTTTAAGCTAGTAACTCATTCAAGTGGACTTAGACAAAATAAACACATTTTTATGTAATCCTCCAGGGAATTAAAATTTGAAAAAAATATCTGTTTAAAGAGACAGCATCAACTTGAAATCTAGTTCATATAAGATAGCTTCAGGTACTGCATTTCTGTGCACTTTTGCTGATTTTGTTATAATCCCACAAACCTATTTTTACTATTCAGAAGTGGGGAGTGGGGGGCAGTTGTCCTGTTGCTATGTGAAGGACCAAACCAGATGGGGAACTGACTATAAGGGGCAACACTGACCAATGCTTTTAGTAGCTAGTTTCAAATACGTGAAACAATCTTTTTCTGATATTTTGATTTTGGTACTCTTGGTGCTTGTTTATAGCGACAGGAAATAAAAATACCTTTTTTAGCAATGTGGATGTCCTGGGCTTTGAGGAATGAGGTCAGTAATGTTGTCTTTCTTGGTGGCAGTTAGGCTCTATGGACCCAATTTCATTCTGGAGGTCTACTCATCAGAGAACAAATCCTGGTATCCTGTATGCGCAGATGACTGGAATGATGATTATGGAAAGACAGCATGTAAAGACATGGGGTATAATGTGTAAGTATGATAAACCTACTTGTGAAACTAAAGCAATGAAGATGTACATCCAAGGCAATCCTTTCATTATGTTGTTTCCCCCCTCCCCCCACTCCTAAAAATGGATATCTGCTGTAAAATTACTAGTCCAGTTTTCATAAATAGAAGAGACAAAATGTAGAAAAGGTTGTATGTTATCACAGGAGCAAAATGAAATGATGTTAAAGCATGTAATACATAACATTCAGTCAATGGTAGGGTGAAAGTTTGTGCATATAATGCAAGCAGAACATGGGAATAAAATTGCGTTATAAAATGCATCCTTATCCAAACTAGTTCACTATGGTAAGTATTGTACAGAAAGTCCTGACCTGTTGAGGACACTGATCACTTTTCATGGTGGTCTTTCATAAGAGTGCCACCATTTAATCACAGTATCCTTCCATGCAGCTTCACTTCCACACTTCTGGGCTTGGCATACGTATGTGGGACCAGGTAGGCAGTGTTCCTTAGAGTGCTCTGGAAGTGTTGTAGACATAACCCTTAGTCTCTGCAGCAGGTAGAGCTATTGATCATGACAAAATTAGTTTAAAATAAAACATTATTGTTTGGTGTAAGTGGGCACTGAGAACAATCATGGAAGAAAGTAAAGTTTAATTCTTCTGCTGTATATCTTAATTGTGGTTTTATTTAATGTTCTATAACTATTAGATTGAACTATTAGATCTAACTTTAGATTGAAGCAAAATCTTTCTTTTTTTCTATTTATTTTTTGATGGGATTGCTTGTTGTTTTTGTTCTCAATTAGTCTTCTACATGACGCATCACTATTATAACTAAACCTTTTTTCCTTTACAGAAATACTTATTACTCTAGTGGGAGAATAGCAATTGAGAAAGGAGCTAAAAGCTTTCTGAGACTGAACACAAGTGCTGGGAATATAGACTTGTACAAGAGATTGTATAACAGGTATTTAAGTCTAAACTACTACAATTTTTTTTTTTTTTTGCATTGTCATTGTCCTTTTTGTAAGTGGTGCGTCTTCCATCTTTATTAGGGCTAGCCTCCCTTTATATTATTACCTTATTTTTAGGATTGGGAGCAGGGGGAGAAGGTCCCGTGCTTGATATGGAATAATTATTCTTCATCATCTTTAAACCTCCAACTATTAAATTATTCCTGACACTATCTTTCTAGGGATTTGTTTTCCAAATCCTATTTCAGAAGTTTGACAACTTTTAAGGACACTGATTTTTTTCCACCCCCTTTCTCACCTTGTTTCCTGTAGCAAACCTACTTCCTTAACAGTTCCCCATTTCCCTCTGCTCCCACACTTCCAAAAGGGTGTAGAAACTGTCATATAACTAGTCAGCCATGATGTTACTATCTTGAATTTTTGTTTTGATAATTGTACCAAGCATAAAATAGTTGCAATATTTGGTACTGTGTTTTATGTGAATACAGATGAAACAGGATACTTGCTAGGGTGACAGGCTCTGAATTCAACTGCTTTTATTAAACTTTGTTTTGTTATATATAATGAGTTTTTTCAGTTCAGATTTTGCTGCAGAGGCTGCTGCACTTGCAAAATCCCCATCCTCCTCTTCCCCTTTTTTTGACATACTGTTATGTGAATGATTTGGGGCCAACCAGTGGCTACAGAGGCAAGTCACAATTCACCTCACTCATTGTGTTTATATGCCTTGGAGTTCTGTGTTTCTGGCAGTTGTAATTAGAACCAGATTCCTCCGTCATATGCTGATGTAAATGGAGGAAATGGTAAAGGCACTCGAGTGCTGGGAGGGCAGTCAGCAAAAGTGGGGATGAAGCAATTGCGTAAGAATTCTTGAATGAAGAGGGGGCAGGAA